GAGGATCAGCAGTAGATTGTTCCCTGCAGAGCGTAATGCTCTTTGGGGGACGTGCCGGAGGGGACGGTCCCGAAGGTACGTTGGTCCCTGACTGCTCAAGGCCTTAAAGGTCAGTACCAAAACCTCAAACCTGACTCGGTACTCCACTAGAAACCAGTGCAGCTGTCGCAGCACAGGTCGAATATGTGCAGTCCGTGACACTCCAGTCAGGACCCGCACCGCGGCATTCTGGACTCGTTGGAGTTTCCGGATCAGTCTCAAGGGGGTAGGCCAGCATAGAGCGAGTTACAGTAGTCCAGTCTGGAGGTGACAGAAGGGGGGCCAGTTGCCTTGCCTGGCATAGCTGGAAAAATGCCAGCTTTGGCAACATTTGTGATCTGGGCCTCCACTGATAAGGAGGCACCCAGAACCACACCCAGACTCCTGATGGATGGTGGCGGTATTAAGGGCAAGAGCAGGGAGTTGGCGCCCCAATTCTGAGTCCACCCACCCAGCCACAGAACTTCCATCTCACTAACGTTCTCACTAATGAAGCTTTCTTTACCACCTTTGTCCATCCTGAAAAAAAAAGTATCAGCTGTTAAATTTCTGCCTGTCTGTCTAGGGACAGTAACAAAAATGCGTACCCCTAAAAGGCAGTGGGGACAGCCCAGAAATTCTCCCCCCAGACACGTCTGGGAAAACTGGAAGTGGAATTCTGCCTCTTTGCGGGCAGTTTGGGTGCTCGGGTGTGTGAAATCTGAGCAGCATGCAGTTGTGGTGTGGGGGGGACGACTTTTGGGGGTTAATGGGAAGGAGACCGGAGGCAAAGATATTGGGGGGGGGGCTTAAGGAGAACGGATCCCGGTTACCCCATGAGTTTTGGGTGCTGTGCTGGAGCTAGTGTTATTCATTATTTATTTATTTGATTCAATTTATACCTGGAGGCAAAGATATGGAAGGGAGGGCCTTAAGGAGAACGGATCCCAGTTACCCCATGAGCTTTGGGTGGTGTACTGGAGCTAGTGTTATTTCATTATTTATTTATTTATTTGATTCAATTTATACCCCACCCTCCCTGCCAGAGGAGGCTCAGGGCGGCTTAGGTAAAGGTAAAGGTTTCCCTTGCTCGAAAGCCAGTCGAATCCAACTCTAGGGTTGCGGTGTTCATCTCTGTTTCCAAGCCGAAGAGCCAGCTACCTATTTATCTACTTGCAATTTCTTGCTTTCGAACTGCTAGGTTGGCAGGAGCTGGGGCCAGAGATGGGAGCTTACTCCGTCATGCGGCACACTCGGGTCTCAAACTGCTGAACGACCTACCTTCCGGTCTGTAGTTCAACATCTTAACCTCTGAGCCACCGCAGCTCCCAGGGCAGCTTACATACGAATTAAAACACATAAATAATAATAGAACAATCATAAGACCATGTAAAACAATGCAGTATTTACTTTTTGCTTATTTAAAGTACACGTGAGCCGCCTTTCTACCTTATGGAACTCAAGGCAGTTTGTAATGTAAACCAAACAATAACCATAAAATACGTCAAACCCACTACTTACAACCGCTGTTTAAAACAGCCATTAAACAGAAAACTTAATTTAATCCAATGCTGTCCTAAGTAAAACTGTCTTCACCTGCCTTCTGAAGTTCTGTAATTGGGACTGCTGCCAAAAAGGCTTTTTCTCAAGTGCCCCCACCAGATGAGATTCTTTGATCAGTGAGACAGGCAGTGATTTTAATTCCTGGGCAGGAACGTAGGGGAGAAGATGGCCCTTCAGGCAACCTGGTCCCAAGCCACGCCGGATTTAAAGAGAACCTGTGACAAGCAAGAACCCGGCACTTTGCATCTTGGTCCTATGGGGTGATATTAACCAAACCGCTGCTTTTTTTACTTATTTCTCCCCACCACCACCCCATCAGCAAGAGCATGGTCACATTGGTCTATCTTACAGGACTGTCGTGCAGCTGGCTGAACTGCTGTGTTGTATAAAGCACTCTGGACGCTTGAGACAAGTGTTGTTGTTCGAGCTAGTTTGGCTAGGCGGAGGGCAGTAAAAGAGGGAATGGCGTTGACAGGCGAAGAGTCCCACGCAGGGGTGGGGAAGTCTGTGTCTGCCAATAATTCCTTCCTTCCCTGCACAGCAATTAAAAGGATCCTATCCCTTCTGCATCTGGTTGCATGAATCATAACAGCTGGGAGAGCCCCCACAGTGGAGACAGTGGATCACAGTTGCGTCTTCTGCAGAACTGAGAGGTGACACCTTGGTGGGTGCCGTACGGTCAGTGGGGTAAGAGGACTGGGGGGGGGGAGGTCGGGACCTCCATTCACTGGGGCTCTTTGGAGGCACAAGAGAGAGGAGAGACGGATTGGCGTGGGGAGATGGGAGATCTCCCTCCGGAAGCATGTTCTGGAGGAGTGAATGAAAGCGCCAGATATCGGGGAGGGGGTGGCAGCGCCCACTCCAGGATTTTGGAAACCTTTTGGCTTAAGCATCCTAGCGTAGTGTCTGACTGCTGCTTTGCATTTCGTCCCAGCTGCACGATCAGATGTCTTTTGCAAGTTCCATGCTGGGAGCTTAATCCCAAGATTGAGGTCAGGACTGTGGCAGGCAGGCAGAGGGGACTTCAGCTTCCCCCTTGTGCTGTTTTTCTAACCTGAGATGGGGGGGGATATTTGTCCTCTTGGGGAATCCTAGATGTATCCCGTAAGTGCAGGTGGAGCTCCCAGTGGGGAGAGTGGTATCAACTGGGGGGCGTTTTAAGTCAAGAAAACAGGATGGGGAAGGGAGGTGAAGCCCCCTGTCTGTGTGCCTCAGTCCTGGTCTAAATGGGGCCCGCACGAGCCCTAGCCCGGAGCACACAGTGCACATTTGGTGGGATAGGCCTGGGGGGAAACAGGATGTCAGGTTCTCAAGAGGCCTCTTAATCAGGAAGAACTGAGTCAAAGGCAAGCCAGGGGCTGTCAGTCAGGGAGGGAATTCTGTCTGATCTCTGCAGAGAGAGAAGTGCTGGGCGGGGGGAATCAGTGCATCAGCCAACTTTCTAAATCCAGCCCCAGTTTCTCAGTTCCAGGTTTGTTCTCTCTTCGATTGCAGAATGCCGTTTTCTTGGCTTGGTGCCGATACCTGGTGCGGTTTTCCTAAGCAACAGCCGCTTGATTCCAGTGCTGCTCCCTTCCCTCTGCTTATCCTTCGGCCGGGATGGGGAGCAAGACTCGGGTTTTCGTCGCACCCGGCATTCGAACCTTTCAGAGCAGAAAGTAGACAGAATCGGAAGCTGGCATCCAGAGAGCTAGAAAAGCAACTCTTGGGCAGAGGTCTTGTTAGGCAGCTGGCTTAAGTTTGGCTTTGAGGCTGAGGCCAAAGCAGGGTGGGTAATTTGAGTCAGACAGGTTTTTCCTTGGTTGCAAATCTCGCCTGCCTCTTGCTTGCTTTTTTGCATCCACAGGCATGCAGACTAATTTTCGACCTGCGCTTAGTCTACGCTCTCTTTCGGACACAAGCTACTTGGTCGCCAAATTTCTGTCTAACATATTTTCTTTTAGTAAATAATGTCTTATTCTTGTACTCAAGATCATCCGATCACAGGGGGGTCTGGAAAGAAAAGGAAAGGGCCGAGGAGTGGAGGGAGAGGCCCTGGGTGTGAGCATGCAGGTGCCAGGAGGGGCTTCTTGGGCCAAGCGCAGCTTTGAAGTGCTGCTTCCCTTCAGGTCGTTATTATTCACCATAAAGCATTTGCATAACGCCCTTGGTCTCTGAAGAGCTTGCACAGATGATCCTTGCAGCAGACCTGGAAGAGAGGCTCATGTTGTTCTTGCAAGGTGGTGGTGGGGAATCGTCTGGCAGTTCCCGTCTCCCCCTCCAGGACTCTGTAATCGCTCAGAGGCTGGACTGGGCTGCTCGCCCTCGGCACCCCCTTTTGCTTTGAGCTGACTCGCAGCTCCTTCCGTGTTCTGCAGGGCCCGGGGCAGATTCAGTCCTAACCTGGCCCCTTTGGAATGTGTGTTTGGTGTACACCAGTTTGGTGTAGTGGTTAAATGTGCTGACTCTAATCTGGGAGAACCGGGTTTGATTCCCCACTCCTCCACTCGCAGCTGCTGGATGACCTTGGGCAAGCCACAGTTCTGTCAGAACTGTTCTTGAAAAAAGAGCGATTTCTGTCAGAGCTCTCTCAACCCCACCTACCTCACAGGGTGTCAGTTGTGGGGAGGGGAAGGGAAAGGAGTTTGTAAGCCGCTCTGAGACACCTTTGGGTAGTGAAGGGCGGGGTATAAATCCAAACTCTTTTTCTTCTTCTTTTCTCTTTGGTTGACTTGCCAGTCGTGTTCTTTGGCACGCCTGGACAATTCCTTGAGTGTATAGAGACTCCGGCCTTGCCTGTGGGTGGGCGTGAGGTTGGTTTTCCAGCTTTCTTGGTGGGCATTGGGGGCTAGCTAATGGACTGATTTCTCACAAGCTGCTGCTCCGAGCTCACTCTTCCCTTTGCCCCATCGTAGGTGTCAATTTCACACCATGTGCTGCGTGGCCACATTTTGCCCCGCAGCTTCACCCAATTTCCCCTGCATCTACTCAATCCTGCTTTTTGAAGATTGAGTAGACGTGGAGGAATATCGAGCGAAGCTGCGGGGCAAAATGTGGCCACGCAGCACATGGTGTGAAATTGACATGTACGATTGGGGCAAAGGGAAGAGCGAGTGTGGAGCAGCGGCTTGTGGGAAATCGGCAATGCTGTGGATTCTCCCCTTGTACTTTCTCACTGGAAACTGTTACCGTGTAACGGTGAGAACTTCCGTTCGCTTTTCTGCGTTGCCCACCCTGAGTGCCGACTGCCGCCGTCGAGCCCCTGAAACGCGATCCCCGTTATGTGGCTTAACTAATTTTAGCATTGTTCGTATATTTTTTAAATCGTCCTTTGGGAAGCACTTTAGCTGATGAGTTAAAATGCTCCCGTAAGAGCGGAGCTGAGCTTAGCGTCGGGTGCCTGCGACGGTTTCAAGCGGCCTGTTGCGTTTCTCTCCCAGCAGCCTTTAGGGAGCCATGGAGAAGATTAAGGAAGCCGTGGAGCGGGCCAGGAGCGCCTTCAACACCGGCAAAACACGCCCCTTGGAATTCAGAATCCAGCAGCTGAAGGCCATCGAGAGGATGCTGAAAGAGCGAGAGAAGGAGATCACCGAGGCCCTCAAAGCGGATCTCAACAAGGTTCGTTGCCCCCTCCCTCCTTTCCCCGTCTCTGGGCTGTCCCCAGCATGGTTGGGAACCGGCCACTCTAAAGGAGAGGTCCCCAACGTGGCGCCCTTTCAGGTGCCCTCCCAAGTGTTTTTTAGGAAGTGGGTGGAGCCAAGCTGGGCTTTTGCCCAGCAAGGCTTCTGATTGGCTGTGCAGGTTTTTTAAAGTGTTGCTGCAGTGGCAGCTGCCGCCAATAGCTGTGGGCCGTGTTACTGAAGTTGAGCGGTGGCGATGGTCATGTGACTGGCCCCGCCTCCTGTGGCAGCCATGTTGTGACTGCCGTGTCAGAATTTCAGAGGTGCCCGCAGGCTCGGAAAGGTTGGGGACCCCTGCCTGAAGGCAGCACCCGCTCCCAGCAGTAGCTTCTGGGAAGCCCTCTCCCCCTGCAGACAATGACCCTTGAAGATTATTGGGGAGGGGAGGGTTGGAAGGAGGGGACTGCCGCCTCCTAGGAAGTGAGGGGCTGGCCCCCGCCCACATTGGCCGCTTCCTTCTGCATCTTTCTTACGACCAGCCAGAAGGGTTCACTTAATAAGCAAGCTGGTCTGGGGCGTGGGGGGCGTGGCGTGTGTGGAGGGACGGCCCGCTGTGCCTCACAAGCCTCTGCACGCACAAGGTTGCATCCTCCTGAGAGCCAGTCTGGGGCAGTGGTTAAGAGCAGTGGATTCTGATCTGGAGAACCGGGTATGATTCCCCACCTCCTCCTCCGCATGCGGCTGCTGGGTGACCTTGGGTCAGTCACAAGTTCTCTGAGAGGTCTCTCAGCCGCCCCTGCCTCGCAGGAGGTTGTAAGCCGCTCTGAGACGCCAAGCGAAGGGGTGTGTATAAATCCAGTCTCCTCCTCCTCCTCCTCTGTCTCCTTCGTAATGACCTCCTTCTTGGTGCCTGCTGGTGAGTGCCAGGCCCCCTGTGCCCAAGTGGTAGGGAATACCTTCATCGGTTGGCCTCGCCCCCTCTGCGCAGGGCTCATGAGGACCCCCCCTGTTGTGACGGCCATCAGAGCGAGCGGTTTGAGAAGGCGGTGGGGGGGGAGGAGCCCAAGATCTGTTCTCCCAGCTCTGTGACGGGGGTGGGGGAGGTGGATTTTAGTGCGCCCCCTCTTACCTTTCCCCATAAGAACATATTATGGGGGGGGAATGAAGGGGAGAGTGTTATCGTGGGGAGTAAAACGTCTGTGCCCAGGCGAGCCCCATCTTGACAGATCTCGGTAGCTAAGCAGGGTCCACCCTGGCTAGTATTTGGATGGGAGACCTACAAGGAATACCAGGGTCGTGACACAGAGGAAGGCAATGGCAGCCTACCTCTGACCGTCTCTTGCCTTGAAGCCACTAGGGAGTTAACCTTAAGTCAGCTGTGACTTGACGGCATGGTCCACCACCACCAAAATTACTGTAGTTGGGGCGGGGGGAGCAGGAGGCAGGTTTTTGCCCTCTGTTATCTGTTCCCCAGATTGCGAGCTCTGGGCTTTGTCCCATGGTGTTCCACAGGGGCCAGCTTCTCCTTCTCTCCATAGCCCCACCCCTTGATTTGCCTAGCCCCGCCCTTTCGCAGTGGCACACAGTCAAGTGATTGGAGGGAGGAGGAAGCTGGCGGTTGTCCTGGAAATGCCTCGACAGCCAGTGCAGTATCTGTTCGATGTATGTCCCGCCCTCCCCGCCAAAGCAGGCTCAGGGCAGCTTACATGAAATTATAAGATACATAAAACAGAAATTATAGAATTATAAAACCGGTTCATAGACTGCTAGCACCAATATCAGTGTCGCATATGATGGCGGGACATAGTGGCAGATCGGTGTCGATAAGATACATAAAATAGAGATTATAGAATTATAAAACCAGTTCATAGACTGCTAGTATCAATATCAGTGTCGCATACGATGGCGGGACATAGTGGCAGATCGGTGTCTGATTAGGATCTGGGGGACTCCAGGTTCGAATCACTGCTCCGCCACGGATGCTCTCTGGGTAACCTTGGGCCAGTCACAGTGTCTCAGCCTAACCTACCTTGCAAGGTCGCTGTGGGGATAAAATGGAGGAAAAGAGAACGATGTAAGCCGCTTCAGGTCCCCATCGCGGAGAAAGGCCGGGGATAAACGAAGTAGATGAATAATAAATGTGGCTGAAGATAGGATGGGGAGAGCAGGAGTAGACTGGGGGGCCAAAACAGGCCTGGGAAATGGTGTCAGCCACTTGGGATCTCTGCTGGGAAGGAGAGGAAGAGTTGGTTTTATTCCCCGCCCTTCACTACCCGAAGGCGTCTCAAATCATCTTACAATCTCCTTTCCCTTCCTTTCCCCACAACAGACGCCCTGTGAGGTAGGTGGGGCTGAGAGAGCTCTGAGAGAACTGCTCTTGAGAGAACAGCTCTGAGAGAACTGGGACTGACCCAAGGTCACCCAACTGGCTGCACGTGGAGGAGTGGGGAATCCAACCCGATTCTCCAAATTAGAGTCCGCCGCTCTTAACCACGACACCAAATAAATTCCAGCGCTTACCTCCCTGAGTCTCCTATGCGTGCCCAGACCCTTCCGCTGCTCAAAGAGGGGAGCGTGTGTGAATGAGAACTGTAAAGCGTTGCATGGCATGCCAGCCTCTTGGCGCCGGGAGGTTGGTCAGACTACCTCCTAGTGACTTTCCTTGCTAAGCATGTATCTAGAACTTAAATCTATAAATCAAACGTGCTGTTAACAACTCATAACCAGAAAATAACAATTTTATAGTTTACACATCATAAACTTATTCACAATCGATGCAGGATTAAGCCGTGTAGACCATGTGTTTCGCAATTTAATAATTTGGACTTAATATTTCACAATTTAATAAATCAATCATTTTGCTTATAGTTTTGTATGTGTGTGGGAGTTGGAACTGTTTTCAGCTGTAATTTATGACCACATTGTGAGACATAAGCCTACGTGATGTAATCCTGCATAGGTTGTGAATAAGTTTATGATGTGTAAACTATAAAATCGATATTTTCTGGATATGAGTTCTTAATAGTACGTTTGATTCATAGATGTAATTTCTAGATGCTTCATTTCCCATTAATCACGGTGTTTTTCTCCATTCTGCATCTCATTACGCCGGGATCCTGTTTTGTGTTCTTTATTTCCTTGCCAGTCAAGCCAGACTTCCAGAGAGCACCCCCCAAACACACTCACACCCCTTTTCCTTTCCTGACACTGTCGACGCTTTTCCCTCTTGGCTCTTTGTATGAGTCTGGGGTCAGCCTCCCCGGTCGTTTCACCTCGAGCTGGCTAGTTCAGACCTCCAGACAAGTAGCGAGGTCCTCTCCTCTCGAGTAGGTCTCCTCTCCCTGGGTTCCCCTCCCGGGATGAAAGGAAGCTCTCACTGATTGCACCGTCCCACACACTTGCTTTCTCCAAAAGTCAACATGTCTTTATTTAAGAGGAGTAAAGATTAAAACACATACGTATCTCCCTGCACCGCAGCGGACCACAGCTCTACAGAAATAACCACCGGGAGAGAGAGTAATATTCAAAAGGACTTAAAACACTGGGGCAATGTACTGAATGGCTGAAGCAGTAGTTCTCAAGCCGCTAGAACTGAGACTGTCCTGAGCAGAATGCCGGCAAGTTGGCGTTATCCTCAACAGGAGGTTGGCAAGGCTACAAACATGAGAAAAATAGAAGGAAAAGTCCTTTATCAGTTAGCCGCCTCAGTGGAAGAAAACTTGCTTTTTGTCTCCTGAAATGTTGTCTCTGTTCCTCCGCCGACCTAATCAGTTACGGTGCCTCAATTAGCTGCAGCTGGTGCTTAAACAATTGCCAAGTTTTCTTATATCCTCCCTAAGGGGCCCAGATGTTGTTTCGCTTCCGAAATTTAAGGGGGACGCCCCACAATAACAAATAATATTTCTATACACTCTTCCGCAGAGCTGCTACAACTCCTTCAGCTATGAGATTATGGTGGTCCTGCTGGAACTCGAGATAGCCGTGAGCAAGCTTCCGGAATGGGCCGCCCCGCAGCGGGTGGAGAAGAGCATCATGGTGCTGATGGACGAAGCCTACATCCACCATGAGCCACTGGGTGTGGTCCTGACCATCGGGGCCTGGAACTACCCCTTTGCCCTCGTAATGCACCCTCTGGTCGGGGCCATCGCGGCAGGTAACCCGGTCCCTTCTTCGGAGTCCCGGGGATCCCATGCAAGCTCAGGGGGGAATTGGCAAAATCAAGTTTGCTGAGCACCTCTTAATACAATCACTAAGAAAAGGAGGGGGGGGGACGCCTAGGCCCTCACGTATGCAAAGTTATCCGAGCAGTGCTGGGGGAGATCTCGTCTGCCGGAAAACCCTTTCTGGCCTCTGAGATGTCAGCAGGCCCGCGTGCTTTCAGCCAACTCTGTATCCATGAGGACTGGGAACTTGCTTTCATTTCTGCAAAAACGATCAAAAGCCAAGATGCTCTGGAGTTTGAGCTCTGCGCCCAGTACTGCAGACTGTACTTCTTGGGCAGCAGGGAGAAGACTGCTTTCAAGGTGCCAAGCATCTATATATGAAAGCCATGGGCATGTAGTGGCCGTGGTTTTGTTCTGGCTTGGTATTCTGGGGACCCCTTCTCCTTCGCCCAGGAGAGGGACACGCCCCGCGTCTCCGTAGACACACCCTCCAATTTTCCTCTACCACCGGCTGCATGTGATAAAGAGTCAGTGGTATCAATGGTGTCTGAGTAGGACGGAGGCAGACCAGGGTTCAAATCCTGACAGAGCCGTCAAGCTCGCTGAGTCTTTCTCTCCTCCTAAGTGACCTCACGGGGTTGGTGGGAGGATGAAACCGAGGAGGGGGAGGTCTGTGCGCAGTGCCCTGAGCGCCTGGGTGGAAGAGCCAGGGTGGAATTGCGGGAGCTGGAGTTGCCTGCTTGTCTCTTTCAGGGAACGCTGTCGTGGTCAAGCCCTCCGAGGTCAGCGAACACACCGCGAAGCTCCTGGAGGAGCTGCTCCCACAGTACCTGGACAAGGTGGGTGCGGGGGGACGTTGCGGAGGTTTCGCCTCTCCTGCCCAGGGACTCCAGCCGCGTCTTTTTCTTGCTCAGGCACTCTGCAGAGCTCTGTTTCCCTGCCGTACCAAATCCCGCAATGGGGACAGATCATGCAGATTTGGGTGGAGTCTCCTCATTTGCATATTTTATACTGTTTTTCATCTGTGGCAGGCATGCCTGGGGGGGGGCCTTCGGAGCTTCACTCTGAACAGTCGGAAACTGTAATCGGCACCTCCTCTGGCTCGTGCTGCCAGGCCTTATCCACGTTATCTCCCAAACCAGCAGGACTACAAACTTTGCCCTATCAAGCGAACAAACAAAGAAGAGACAGCCTGTAACTTGGCTCCCTGTGCTCTTGTGACATCCTGGCAAAGACGTGGCTCCCTGCCTACATGGGCGCTCCCCCCCCCCCCCCCCCTTCTTACAGGAGCCGGCCCTGTGCTTAAATTCCCAAATGACAGAAACATGGCAGGGACTCAGCCTCCCTATGGCCAGTGGGTAGAGCCCGGCTCCCAGCCTGTTTTAGACCCAGAGGCCCGACCTTTCCCACCCCTGCGCTCGCCTTCACTCTGGCGAGGTGCTCTGCCCTCCCTTCTGCAGTACTTGAAGGAAAATATAAGAATACTCCTTTCACAGAAAGGCTTTGTGCCTCCCCATTAAGGGAGGTTGAGACTCTACTGAGCATATCTATATATCTAATAGCGAAGGCACCCCCTGCGTGCGGATATCTAAATCCGCACATCAGGGGCACCTGGGGGCAGGGAGATTTTCCTGCACAATTGGGGCGGTCCCCAAGTGTGCACAAAAATCTAAAAAGTTGAAAAAATATAGGGGGAATATTTAAATCCCCCAAAAAGTAAAAGAGCCTTCCCTGCACATGTGCAGGGAACGCTCTGGGAACTCTGCGGCAGGCTGGCGGTTGGAAGCCACTCAGACCTCGCCGCAGGAGTGGGGGGAGGGAGGAGGAGATCGGCAGCGGTGGTGGTGGAGGAGGAGGAGGAGACCATCGGAGCCGGTGGGAAGGGGAAGAAGGAGATCAGCGAGGCCCGGCGGCTGGAAGGCGCTTGGGCTTAGCTGCTGGAGCCAGGGGTGGGGGAGGAGACTGGGGGAGATGGGGGAGGAGACCGGGGGGGGGGGGGGGGGGGGGGGGGGGGGGGGGGGGATCAGTGGGCTTAGTGGCTGGCAGCCACTCAGGCCACGCCACTAGTGTCCGGGGATGGGAGGAGAGGCTTACCTGCTGCTGCTTCCTCCTTCTCCTGCTCTGCGTGGAGCTCCCCCCCCGTGAGTATCGCGGGTCCCCTTTCTTGTGTTTTCTAAATGTCCGTATTATCAGGTGGCGCGTAATAACCCCCGTTCGTGGGGAGGGCGGGGTATAAATATAATTAAGTAAAAATAAAATAAATAAAAATCATCACACCGCTGACTGAACTAATTCTGGGCCTCTCCAAAAAAGCTAGACTCGAGTTCCTTCTGTCTGATAGAAATCCCAAGATTACCCACCAAGTAGCCAGTTTCTTTGTGGTGATAGATCACGGAAACCCCAAGGCAGCTAGTTAGATACAGTAGTTTGATATTAGATTAAATTTTGCTTTTAATGTTTTACTGATGTATTTTAAAATCTTGGAATTTTGTAAAGGTGTACGTCTTTTTGTATGACTGGTCTAAGGACTGTAGAAATAAACTAAAGTAAATTAACCCCTGCGCTCAAGTCATACGCAGCAGGCTTCTTACACCCATCATGTTAATTTTGTGGTTTGCCAGGGAGGTTTTCAGCCCTGGAAAACGACCTGAGGCTGTTCTTGGGAGGCAGTACTAAAACCGGCCCTGAGAAGTTAAGAACATAAGAAGAGCCCTGCCGCATCAGACCACTGGTCCACCTAGTCCAGCATCCTGTCTCACACAGTAGCCAACCAGTCCCTCTGGAGAGCCAACAACAGGCCATAAAGGCCGAGGCCTTCCCCTGATGTTGCCTCCTGGCTCTGCGATTCAGAGGTTGAGTGCCTCTGAATGTGGAGGTTCCCCTCAGTCACCATGACTAGTAGCCACTGATAGACTTATCCTCCACCCATCTCTCTAATCCCCTTTTAAAGCTGTTTATTCCTGTGGCCATCACTACATCCTCTGGCAGCAAATTCCACATTTTAATTACTCTCCGGCTTAAAGTAGTATTTCCTTTTATCTGTCCTGAACCTACTGCCCATCAGTTTCATTGGATGCCCTCAAGTTCTGTTATTTTCGGAGAGGGAGAAAAAATTATCTTTGTCAACTCTCTAATAAGAACATAAGAAGAGCCCTGCTGGATCAGACCAGTGGTCCATCTGGTCCAGCATCCTGTCCCACACAGTGGCCAACCAGTTCCTCTGGACAGCCAGCAACAGGGCATAGAAGCCGAGGCCTTCAGAATAACATAAGAAGAGCCCTGCTGGATCGGGCCAATGGTCCACCTAGTCCAGCATCCTGTCCCACACAGGGGCCAACCAGTTCCTCTGGACGGCCAGCAACAAGACGTAAAGGCCAAGGCCTTCACCTGATGTCACCTGGTCTGCAGATGTTTATTGCCTCTGAATGTGGAGGTTCCTTTTAGTCACCACTGCTAGTTGCCGCTGCCTGACCTCTCCTCCATGAGTCTGTCGAATCCCCTTTTAAAGCCACCTGTGCCTGAGGCCATCACGGCATCCTCTGGCCGCCGATTTCACCTTTTTGTCACCCATTGTGTAAAGAAGTACTTCTGTGCAAACTCCATGTGGGTGTCAAGAGTGCTGGTGATGCCCGCACAGGATCAGTTCAGTGGTCCATCCAGTCAAGCATCCCGTCTTCCCCAGCGGCCGATCCGATGTCCCAAAAGACTACAGAGGCCTAACCCCCCCCTCCCCCGCCATTGCTGCCCCCGACAACTGGTGCTCAGGGAGCTGCTGCATCCGAACACGGAGGTTCCATTCAGCTATCGTTGCCAGTGGCCGCCGACAGCCCTGCCAGTGACTTTAGCTCCAGTGTGCATCTAAGCTAGCGGCCGTCACTACACCCTGTGTCAGTCAGTTCCACAGACTAATTGTATGCTGCAGTGTGAAGAAGTATTATCTTCTGTCCGTCTGCAGTCTGCTGCCCATCGGCTCCCTTGAAAGTCCTCCCCAAGTGTTCTGGGCAAGGGGAAGACGTTTTCTCATTCCGTCTCATGCCCTATTTTTGAAGCCTTTCTGACATCCCGACCATCCCCCCCCCCCCCCCAAATTTAGCTCTGTATTTTCTCTTCAAAAGTTTAGGTCTGTATTTTCTCCTAAGCTGAGAAGCCCCTGAGCATTCAGCCTTTCCTGGTCGGGCAAGGGCCTCCAGCCCCTGGGTGGTTTGGGCTGCCCTTTTGCGAGCCTTCGGTAGCTGTACGGTTTCCTTTTTGAGATGAGATGAACGGAGCGGTGCAGAACGCGTCTTGGGCTCCGCGGCGAGTTCCCCGTTCCAGTTGCCTGTGCGCCTTCGTTTGGCTCGAGCAGAAACCGAGCCGGGGTGTGAACAGAGAGGAGCCAGCTTGGATCAACAAATGCGCCCGAGGTCCGTTTGCCAAAACCGACTCAGTAGGCAAGTCTCCGAAGCAAAACCACCCGCTCTGCTCCAGTGGTTCTGCTTTCTGAGACCTGCCTCCCGAGCGGGTTTTGGCAAGCAGACCTTGGGCGGATTTGCTAGATCTAAAGTCTTAGCCACGAGGGCAGGTGATCACGTGGGAGCACTTCTGCGGAGATGAGACGACCACAGCCTGAGCCCAGAAACGGTGCTGCTGCCAATAATTGTCCCCTGGCCAGATCTTCTCTGGCTTTATCCAGAGAATATTAACCTTCTGTCATCTGTTTATCCAGTGGCTGATGTCTTGCCTGGTGGGTTAGTCTAATGTCAGCAGCCCTCCTTGCTGTTCCCGCCTCCCTTCCAGCAGCTTAGTATTCACAGACGGACTGCCCCAGGATATGGAGGATCGCTGAAGCTAAAACAGATCTGTAACGTCGGAATGACACGGCCAAATGTCACCTCTGTTTTTGCGTGCCTCTTAGCAGATCTCCCGGGTCCTGCCTGCATCTCTCTGCCCTCAGCTCTGACGGCCGTTTCCAGACTTCCTGGGTCCACTCAGAGAGTCAGTTGCTTCATTTCTTGAGCCCCCATAAATCCCTTCCCGATCCCAAGGTTTTTGCGAGGGTGAAAGACGGGGGGGATGGGGTTCGTTTCCTCTGTCCCTGCTGGGTCGGAGCTGCCTGTCGATCCTCCTGTTTTGTCTGTCCCCCCACCCCCCAGGACTTGTACCCAGTTGTCACCGGAGGGATCCCCGAGACGACCGAACTGCTGAAGCAGAAATTCGACCACATCATCTACACGGGCAACAGCTCCGTGGGCAAGATCGTCATGGAAGCCGCCGCCAAGCACCTCACGCCCGTCACCCTCGAGTTGGGCGGGAAGAGCCCCTGCTACATTGACAAAGACTGTGACGTCGATGTGGCTTGCAGGTGAGGTAGTTGGCATCGGGAGCCATCCTGCTGGACCACCAGACCTATGGAGCCCACCTTCCTGTTCCCCACAGTAGTCCACTGCATGCCCAAGAAAGCCCACAAGCAGGGCATCGAGGCTGTTGTCCTCCCCGGCAACCTGCCGCACAGAGGTGGACTGCCTCCAAACACGGAGGTTCCATTTAGCCATCATCACCAATGGCCATCGATGACCTCTCCTCTTTGGGTGTGTAATCGCCTGCATCCAGTGGCCATGAGTTCCCACGTTTCATGTGAAGAAGGGGTGCCTTTTGAATCTGTTGCCCATCAACTCCCAATAGGTGCCCCCCACGTCTAGACTTACAGGAGAGGGAGGGAAAGCTTGCCGGTCCCTTTTTCCAGACAGCATGATCTTCTCAACTTCTACCCTGTAGCCCTTCAATTATCTCTGTTTTTGTAAGCTGAAAAGCCCCAGACTACATAAAATACGTAAATATGTAAATATGGTTGCAGCAGGGTAGCTGTGTTAGTCTACCCCAGACGAACATAAAACGGAATTCCAGTGACACCTTAAAGACTAACAACACTGATTTCTGTCTGAGTTTCCGTGAGTCAAGAGTGACTCACGAAAGCTTGTACAGGAAGAAATGCTGTTAGTCCTTAAGGTGCCACTGGACCTTTTTTGCCACAAAAAGCCGGTCTTTCAGCACTGTGGCATCTCTTTTGGATCCCCTTCTGTACTTTGTAGGACTGTCCAAGTTGCCAAGAGTGGCCAGGTGCCTCTGGAAGCAGGGCATGAAGCTCTGCCCCCTCTAGGTTGCTCCCAGCAATTCCGGAGGTATACTGCCCCGACACATGGAGGTTCCATTTGGGTATCCTGATTAATGACAGCTGTCGATAGACTCTCCCTCCACGTCTGACCCTTTAAAAAACCATCTAAGACCGGTTGCAGCGGGGTTCCAATTTTCATCTGGTGCAGCCTAGGTGGAGGAGGAGTCTCGTGGTAGCCCCAGAAGGGAAACTTCTTCCAAGGTTAGCACCTTAGAGACTGAACAAAAATTTGTGGCAAGGTGGGAGCTTTCCTGAGTCACTGCTCACTTCCTCAGTTATCTGACGAGCTGAGCAAAAGACAGCCCTTCTGCAAACGGTGCCCAAATCTGTCCAGAGATACACATAACCCTGTCAAAGGTAACCTGTCTCTCTCACAAGCAGGGAGGGGCTGGCTTTGTCAGTGGGCCGTCCTAACTCTGGCGCCAGGCATTGCTAGTGAGATCTCGAGTCCCAGGTGCTGGGAAAGACCAAACTGGGAGAGCCAGTTTGGTGTAGTGGATCGGAGCACAAACTCTAATCTGGGAGAACAGAGTTTGATCTCCCCCATTCCTCCACATGCAGCTGCTGGGTGACCTTGGGTCGGTCACAAGTTCTCTCAGAGCTGTTCTCTCAGGAGCAATCTTCACAAGAGCTCTCTCAGCCCCACCTTCCTTACAGGGTGTCTGTTGTGGGGAGGGGAAGGGAAAGGGAATCGTTAGCTGCTCTGAGACTCCGAGTTGAAGGGCCAGGGTATAAATCCAGCCTCTTCTTCTTTCTCTGCTGGAGACCCTGGAGAGCCGCTGCCAGTTAGAGGGGATGGAGCTGGGCCGGGGGGGGGAGGAGTGGTTTGACTCGTTGCAAGGCAGCTTTGACGGTCCCTTTTTCAGCAGGTTTAAGGTACCACCCAAATGCATCAGACTCTAAGGCCAGGGTCGCCAAGCTTTTCTTTAAGAAGAGTTACTCCTACAAGCCAGTTTGGTGTAGTGGTTAAGTGCGCGGACTCTAATCTAGGAGAACCGGGTTTGATTCCCCACTCCTCCACTTGCACCTGCTGATGTGAACTCGGGTCAGTCACAAGCTCTGGCACAGCTGTCCTTGAAAAAGAGCCGTTTGTGTCAGAGTTCTCTCAGCCCCACCCACCTCACTGGGTGTCTGTTGTGGGGAGGGGAAGGGATAGGAGTTTGTAAGCCGCTCTGAGACTCCCAAGTGAAGGGCGGGGGATAAATCCAATCTCCTCTTCTTATTCTAATGAAAAATACCCCAAGCGAATCTCCTCCCCTCCCAACATGCCTTTTTTTTAAAAAAAGCCTAGGCCAGATCCTGTCTTGCAACTTCTAGGGCAGGAGTCCCCAACCTTTTTTTTTTTTTTTGGTAAAGATTTTATTAATTTTCCAAAAGAAAAGAAAAGGGAAAGCAAAAAACACATACAGAGTGAGAACAAAAGAGACAAAAAACTACACCCACAACACATACGGAGCACATACTCATTATATCAGGTAACAGTTCACATATAAGAATCATTCATTTCTGCACCTGTACCGTTTTAGAAATTTAAAGTCCAAAAAGAAATAGTTTAACCATTAAGTTTAAATTTCTTGCAGGTGTTTCTCAATCTATTGATACAATCTTTTTGAGCGCCTTTGGAATTCCGACGTGGTGGGGGCGGGGCACAGCCACAAAAGGACGGCCACAAAATAGCGGTGGGGCAAGGGGCACAGCCAGCCACAAAACGGCCGCCGCAGCTGACCTTCAAGGGACACAGCGAAGATTCTTCTGCTGTAGCGGCAGCTGCTGCCAAAGCAGTTGTCTTCAAAATCTGCCCAGCTGACCAGATTCCCAGTGGCCAATCAGAAGCCTTCTTGGGCAAAAGCCCCACTGGCCCCACTCACTTTCTAAAAGCCCTTGGTGCCAGGAAAGGTCCTGGCAGGCGCCATGCTAGAGACCCCTGTTCCAGGGAATATAGGAGCTGCTGAGGGCTCACAAGCAGCCTCTTGGTGACCTTTGCGGTAGGGCTGGGTCTCCAGCTTTTCTCCTGCGTCTGTGTGTGTGTGTTCGTGTTCAGCCTTCTGCAGTTGCTTGGGGTGGTAATCCCTGCACCTCCCTTTTCAGTTTCTAAGCCACTCTTATCATCCGCTCTTCATCTGGAGTGAGAGGGCGCCCGCCCAGGATCAAAGTTTACACCCAGCAACCAGGAGAGGCCTCTTGCTCCCACTGCCAGCATTCGTCTCTGCCAAGGATGCCGGGAGGGGCAGGAGCCGGGCCTCCCGTAGTTGTGAAACCGAGGGCACCTGGATTCTTTGGCCCGCACATCAAGGGCCCGCTTCTGCTAAGCCTTTGGGATCAGATCCAGCCCTTGCGCAAAAGGGCCTGGCTTCACGAGATCAGCTCCCCTAGCCACACTGCACAGTGAGGGAGCCATTGTTGTGGGGTCAGGGAGCACCGGCTGACTCGCGCCGGGTCCGTTGGCTGAGGCCCTCTCAGGGTGCGGCACTATTGGTCAGGGGCTTAGCCAGTGGGAGACTGAAGGCTCTCCATGTTCCCAGCAGCAGCAGCCTGGCTGTCAAGTGAGGTCTGGCTCCACAGGTGGAGGGGCTGCTCTCCTCTGTAGAACCAGCTGTGGCCCCCTCTGGGAAAGCAGAGATCCGTCTGCCCTCTTGCATGTGGGGTTCTCATCCAGGTTCCTGAGGAGTGGGAGGCCAGAGGGCCGCTTTCTGCACCGAGCACATTGGTGCCCCCCCTCCCGCCGTCCTTCTGGTGCAGGGCAGCTCCCTTGGCCAGTCTCCCTGCCGTTCCCTCTGGCCTGGAATCCTTTCCAAGGACGTCACGGACCTTTCTGTTTTATCGAGGCGTCTCCTGCCGCCTCCCAGAGGAAGCTCCCAGGGCAGAGCACGACTCGCTCAAATTAGTAAAGAGCAGCCCAACCAATAATTTTGGATGCAGGGTGGTTGCATAAGAACCTAAGAGAAGCCAGTGTTTGGATCAGGCCAGTGGCCCATCCAGTCCAACACTCTGTGTCACACAGTGGACAGAAATACCAGGTGCCATCAGGAGGTCCAGCAGTGGGGCCAGGACACTAGAAGCCCTCCCACTGTTCACACACACACCCCAAAGCACCAAGAATACAATGCATCACTTGCCCCAGCACATCAAACAGACAGTTGGTAATAATGGAATGTGACGAATAAAATACATTAAGAGGAGGAGAAGAGGAGATTGGATTTATACCCCGTCCTTCACTACCCAAAGGAGTCTCAGAGTGGCTTACAAACTCCTTTCCCTCCCCCTCCCCACAACAGACACCCTGTGAGGTAGGTCGGGCTGAGAGGGCTCTGACAGAAACTGCTCTTTTTCAAGAACAGCTGTGCCAGGAAAAAAACAAAAACCACCTTCTGGCAGCGGATAAAGGCAGATCAGTCAGATGGGAGCCATTCCAAGACATCCTGACTGGCCAGAGGTGTTTTAACAGCCAGGCACATGTGCTGGCGGCACTGTCCCCAAAGGCCAAGGCTCAGCCTCTGCTCACGGAATTCAGTCCCGTCTCTCTGTTTCCTTGTATTCTCCTTCAGACGGGTCGCGTGGGGGAAGTACATGAACTGCGGCCAGACCTGCATTGCTCCCGACTACGTCCTGTGCGACCCGTCCATCGAAGGCCGAGTCGTGGAGGGCATAAAAAAGGCCCTGGCGGTGAGTGTTGGCTCAGCAGGCTGCTTTCCGGACCCCACGGGTCTCTGCGTCGTGAAGACCGGCTGGTCTGCGCCCTTCTGGCAGATACCTATGCTGGGGATTGGTCATAAAATCACACCTTTGACTAAATCCCTTTGGGGAGGGACGATGCAGTCTGAAAACTGCCTTTGGGGGCGCTCATCTTGGTGTTTCCTCAGAGACAGAGGAGGGGCAACTGCTTGGCCTGCAGACCGCCCTGGTGCAACCCTCCCCGTCTCCGGTGAAAGGCTCCCGGGGAACAGGAGTTGGAAAAGCTGTTTCTGCCGCCACCTCATCTGGGGGGGGGGGTGCTCAGGGGGCCGCTGCAGGTCAAAGGAGACGAGACTCTTCTCCCTGTACTGGTGCTGCCGAGGGGGCTCAAGGACCAGCCGCCTGCAGAGCTATTCAAGACATTTAGCATCAGGACCAAAGTGGACAAAGCTCGTTATACCTCCTTGGGGCAGACCCGTTTTTCTCAGCCTGGCCTACCCCACGGGGTTGTTGTGAGGGAGAATGCCCCATCTCCGCCATCGTCCTGGGCTCCTCAGAAGGAAGGGCAGGTTGCAAACGTGATCTGATGAGAGAGCTGATTCCCGGTGGCCACTGCTTCTTCCCTTGCAGGAATATTACGGCGAGGACGTCAAGAAGTCCCCCGACTACGAACGGATAGTGAACAAGCGGCACTTCAAGAGAATCATGGGGTTGCTGGAAGGGCAGAAGGTCACTTACGGCGGGGAAGCTGACGAAGCCAGCTGCTTCATAGGTAGGGTTGGACGCAGTGTGGGTGCGCCTTGGATCGCGGGCAGCACCCGGGCTGGCTGGAAGGAGCCGTCTTGGGGGCCTCTCTCGATGGGGTGTTTTTGGCGGTGGTGTTTTGTGTGCATGAAGGGAGGGAGGGGAGAGGCAGAGGTGTCCTGGAAAGAAACCGCTTTGTCCAGTCTTCTGTGTCGACACACCCTCTGAGTTGCAGGCAACAGCAGTGTTTGCGCCGGCCGTGAATTTCAACCCTGCTGAGCTAATGAACAAATAATCTGCAAGGTCGCCGGTCCTGGAATCTGTCTTGTGATGCCCTTTTGTCAGGGCGGTGCTAGAAGCATCTGGCAGCGATCAGCTGAGCTATTAAAAAGGCTTTAGGTTTTTGCCAAGCCAGTCGGCTCTGAGGAGGCGCCCTCCAGTGGGGAGAGCAAAGGACAAGGTTATTTAGTTATTTAAAACATTGCGACGGTGCCCCGTTCAGAGTCCCCAAGGTTGGGAACATCGGAACATTTGAGACTTTAAAAAGCACTTAAAGTACAAAATATATAATATCAAATGCATTGCATTATATTTTGTATTATATTCAAATAAAAGGTAAAGGTTCCCTTGCTCAAAAGCCAGTCGAATCCGACTCTAGGGTTGCGGTGCTCATCTCCGTTTCCAAGCCGAAGAGCCAGCGCTGTCCGAAGACGTTTCCGACATTTTATAAACACTTTTGAGTCCCCACTGGGAAGAAGGTGGTGTATACATTAAGAAAGTAAAACAAAAATAAATACGTACTTAAAAACACCCAAATAGAATTATACAGTTGGAAGGGACCTCCATGGTCATCTAGTCCAACCCCCTGCACAATGCAGGAAATTCACAACTACCTCCCCCACCACACCCCCAGTGACTGCTGTTCCATGCCCAGAAGATGGCAAAAAAAACCTCTAGGATCCTTGGCCAAACTGGCCTGGAGAAAAATTGCTTCCTGACCCCAAAGTGGCGATCAGCATTTCCCTGGGCCTCTGCTTAAAAGCCTCCAAAACAGGGAGAAGGCTAAAAAGAGTTTGTGACGGAACGCCAAATAAAACAACAAGGTCTTCACTGGCTGGCAGAAGACGTTACAGCGGGAGACAGGCAGATCTCCTTGGGGAGAGGGTTCCAAAGTTTGGGTGCCACAACCTGGGGTTGTTGGGTTGTCATCTGTCTAGGCTCAAATGTGACGGACAGAAGACCCTGCCCCCGAAGGGAGAAACAGCCACTCACTTGAGCCTTTGGGAGTGCTGCTCCCGCATCCACGTCACCTTTGAGAAGGGGGACGGAGTGTTGGAGGGAAACACAGCAGGAGTTGAGTTCAGTTCTGCCTCAGGGAGGGAGCAGTGAGAAGGGCAGACAGAGTGAAGGGTGGTTCTGCCTGTTAGTTTGGCACAGTGGTTTGGCCCTACTTCTAACAGAGAAGAGAGTACCCAGTTGTTAGGCCTGTTATCTCTGGCAGTGAGCAGACCTTGTGCAGTTGGGTCTGATTCTTGGGAGCGGGCAGACGGGTGCAGGTGGAATCCTGGTTGTGTGTGTGAGGATTCAGCCTAGTGACTGATGGGTGGAAGTCTGTTGATGCTTGAAAGTATGAAAGGGAACTGAAACTACTCTCTAAATTAATGTGCCTCAGCTAGGTGTCTCTTTTGGAGTCTATCTGGAGTCCTGTTCAGTGTTCCCTCTAAGCTGAGTTAGTGTGAGCTAGCTCACAGGTTTTTAGCCTCCGGCTCATACATTTTTGTGTTTGCTCAGGAAGGATGGCTCCAGAGCAAACTAATTTATGTAGCAGCCAGATTGCTTGCTCACAACTTTAATGTCAGTTGCTCACAAAGTAGCATTTTTGCTCACAAGGCTCTGCAGCTTAGAGGGAACATTGGTCCTGTTCCTGGAAACCTACTTGTAAATAAATTAGTCTTCTTTGCCGTTAATGTAGAATTCCTGCCTCAGTGACCGCCGTATTCCACTTGCGCACCACAAAACTTACCTCACGGCAGGGAACCCAAAGCAGCGAATGCTCGCTACCTTTAGAAGACCCGGTAACTGAGGGGAAGGTTTGTGGTTTACAATAAACCTGGTTCCCCCAAAATCATAGGAGGCTGTGTGGGGCTCCCCTCAGCTGATAGGAAGGGCCTGTCACAGGGGCAGCCGGAGCAGAGCCTCCGCGGGTGACCTCAGTGGTCATGGAGACTGCGCCAGAAGGGTGTTGAAGAGTCCTGTGAGCACCGTGGGGCACCAGTTGTTGCCACCCTCGGCCACCTTTACACAACAAACCTGTTGTGTGAAATTCGCATGCTGGAGACAGCTGTGTGAGGAGGGTGCTGTCGTATGTGTGTGCGTGAGAACGTTTTCAGCCGCTCCCTGGGAATAACGGGTGGCCCAGGGGCACAGAGTTCTAGCAGTGAGGACTAGAAGCATGAGACATTAGTATTTATTTTATTGACGTTATTTATAGTCTGCCTTTCTCACTTGAAGTCAAGGCGAATTACAGGGAATGTGTCCACACAATCTGGAGACTCTTTGGTAAATTTGCTAAGGTTGGCAAGATAAATGGCCAGCCACAACACTTCCTTGATCCTTGATCTCCTGAGAGCCAGTTTGGTGTAGTGGTTAGGAGCACGGACTCTAATCTGGGAGAACCGGGTTTGATTCCCCACTTCTCCACTTGCAGCTGCTGGATGACCTTGGGCAAGCCACAGTTCTGTCAGAGCTGTTCTCTCAAGAGCAGTTTCTGTCAGAGCTCTCTCAGCCCCCCCTCCCTCACCCTGAGACTCCGAGTGAAGGGTGGGGTATAAATCCAATCTTTTCTTCTTCTCTGTGCACTATCGAATCAAGCAGAATTCTGCTTCTCAGACTCGCATTCACTTACATGTAATATCATGTCTTGCGTGGGGAAAGCACTGGTCACAGTCTGAGCATTTATTTGTTTGTTTATTTGGTAGATTTATATCCCGCACTCCCCACAAGCGGCCCCAGCGCGGGTAACAACAGCAGACCTTACAGGGTCATTAAAACAAGTTATCAGTAAATCCCCCAGTAAACCAAAGGCCTGGGGGGAACAGCTCCATTTTACAGGCCCTGTGAAACTGTAATAAGCCTGTTCCACCAGGTGGGGGCCAGGACAGAAAAGGCCCCGGCCCTGGCTGAGGCTAAGCGGACATCCTTTGGGCTGGGGACAGCCAGTAGATGTTGGGCAGCAGAGCACCAGGCTCTCCGAGGGACCTACGGACATTTTATATGGTATACAACATTTATACGGCACAGGGACATTTATACGGTATATTCCCTAGACGGGTTATCTGCCAGAGATTTATACGCTTTTGCACAGGTGTGAATGCTTTGGAAGAAAGGTGCTTGCTCCATCTCAAGTTCACTTTGGCCAGCATAAGGACCTGAGGAGAGCGTGACTGGCAAAGACAGGTCTAAGCAAGGGAACCAAGAGTTCAGTGGTCCCATCGTACATTGTTTAGAGCAGGGGTGCCGAACCCATTTGTTATGAGGGTCAGATCTGACATAAATGAGACCTTGTTGGGCCGGGCCATGCGTGTCATAAAATGTAATGCCAGTAGCAGAGATACAAACTTTGTAAAGGGCACAAACACACAGGTTCTTTTTTTTACTTGAAATAAAAACATGCTTAAAATATTAGCACTCTTGCGATATTTTGTTTATTTAACAGTGTCTGGTAACTGACACCTCTTGCCCTGAATTATTGCGTCAAAATATCTGTGCTGTTGCAATCTTGAGTATGCTGTTCAGGTGTGTATCTGTAAGCGGCAAACCTATGATGACACAGCAGCAGTAGAACTGGAAGAAGAAGCAGAAGACAGCCAGTTCCACTGCGGGCCTGATTCGGCCCCTGGGCCGCATGTTTGACACCCCTGGTTTAGAGTTATCGAGCACCATAAACTCAGTAGGGGCTCACCCTGCCTCTGTAAAACCATTTCGATTTCCCCGCTTGTCCTCGTTTGTGTCCTTGGTTCACTGTTCGCCTCTCCTCCTAGCACCCACCATCCTCACCGACGTCAACCCCAACTCCAAGGTCATGCAGGAGGAGATCTTTGGCCCCATCCTTCCCATTGTCACCGTAAAGAACCTTGACGAGGCCATCCACTTCATCAACCACCGAGAGAAGCCACTGGCTCTGTACGTCTTCGCCAAAGACAAGGCGGTGAGTTTGGGGCCCCGGTTTGCCACGTGGCTGCCCAGTGCCGGAATGGATCTTATTGGCCTCCAACGGGCGTCGCTTTGGGTCTCGGCACGAATCACATCCCACTTGGTTGGCGTCCCGCTCTGGCACCGACTCCTTTGGTGGCCTTGGGCAAGTCACTTTCCCAGTAAACCGGGGCAAGGGAAGTCTTATTTCCAGACAGGGCTGCTGAGATCCACTGTGGGGCCCCACCCCACACCTGCTTAAGTGTTCCCCCTTGGGCTTCCCCTTGGACCTCCAAGCCAAGCATCTCACGACAGCAGATTACAGGGAGCCCCATGGTTTCCCCCCTCCACCCACCCAGCCACCCACCCCCGATGACCAGTGGCTCTGGAATTGTGTCCTCCCTCAGATTTCAACAGCCCTTGGTTGTGAAGCTGAGCAGAATTTTGTTGAAAAGCACTTGATGAGTCGAGGGAGTTACAGAGATGATTAATGACATTTAATTCTTCGGTTTGAGGTCTTTTAAAGCGTTTCACCTTTTGCCCTTGGGTCCACTCATGGATGGATCGAGCTTTAAATGCATATCTGCCGATCCTTCCTCAGATTGTTCTGAGCTATTGAAGGATGTGTGAGTCACAAGCAGCGTCACGAGGGGCTCCCACTCAGTCTGAGAAGAAAAGGCAATCCTGGTTTGTTCCTGCTTACAGCTCCTGGAACCAGAAGATAGTTTGTAGGCAACGCTCCTTCTAAGCTGTGGAGCTTTATGAGCAAAACTTCTGCTTGGTGAGCTACTGGCATTAAAGTTGTGAGCGAGCGATTTGGCTGCTGCATAAAATCAGTCTGCCCTTCCTGAACGAAGACAAAAATGTGTGAGCCGGAGGCTAAAAAACTGTGAGCTGGATCGTGCTAACTCAGCTTAGAGGGAACACTGTAGCCAACCTTGCTGGTCCCCAAGAATATATAAAAAGTGGGTAACCATTAGCAGGATCTTGTATCACTTTGATCATGGTGGAAAGAGCCATGAAGTCCCAGCCTGCTTAGGAGACCTGTGGGGGTCTCAAGCAATGTTCCCTCTAAGCTGTGGAGTCTTGTGAGCAAGAATTCTAGTTTGTGAGCTATGAAGTCCCAGCCTGCTTAGGAGACCTGTGGGGGTCTCAAGCAATGTTCCCTCTAAGCTGTGGAGTCTTGTGAGCAAAAATTCTACTTTGTGAGCTCCTGGCATTAAAGTTGTGAGCGAGCGATTTGGCTGCTGCATAAATGAGTTTGCTCTGGAGCCCTCCTTCCTGAGTTAAGACAAAAATGTGTGAGCTGGAGGCTAAAAAACTGAGCTAGCTCACACTAACTCAGCTTAGGGGGAACACTGGACAAGTTCTCTCAAGGGCAGTTCTCGAGAGAGCTCTCTCAGCCCCACCTACCACTCACAGGGTGTCTGTTGTGGGAAGAGGAAGGAGATTGCAAGCTGCTCTGAGACTCATTCGGGTAGTGAAAGGTGGGGTATAAATCCAATCTCCTCCTCCTCCTCCTCCTTCCGAGCAGGTGCCATTGGATGCAAAAGAGGTTTCAAACTGCACCAAGGACAGCTGGGGCCAGAAAGCTAACAAACCATGAAAGGGGGGGGGGATGGCACCCCCCCTCCTTTTATTGTGTTCTGTGTCTGCACGGTGCCATGCATGGCCCTTGATGCGATTACCCAGCTGCCGACCTCCCACCCACAGTGCATTGATGACTCGGTCGACCGAAAGGGGCCTCTGCTCTCGAAGCCCTTCTTCACTCTGCCTTCTTCTCCCCCACCTCCAGATCATCAAACGGATGATCGCCGAGACCTCCAGCGGTGGCGTGACGGCCAACGACGTCCTCATGCATTTCACGCTCCCCAGCTTGCCGTTCGGCGGGGTCGGTGAGTCGCAGCCCTCACGGCAGGGCTCGGGGGGAGGGAGGGTTCTCCCGCTGCTTGCCGAACGCCGGCTAGATGGGCAGCCGCAGCTTCCCCGGCTCTTGCGTTTTGCGCAGGAGGAAGTCGATTTGCTCTGGCGTCTGCAGAGGTCCCTTGGGCAGCGAGTCCAGGTGCCTTGTTTCGGAGCTATTTTGGCAAGCAGAAAGGGTTTGGGAAGCCCCCTTCCAGGGGGGGGGGATAAGACATGGCTGCTGGGGTCTGAATAGGGATGGAGTGGTGGCAACCCATGCTGTCAACATTTCTTTAAAAAAAGTTTGAGGACGAGTAACCGGGGGGTGGGGGTGCATTTCAGGACGGACAAAAGGAAATACTGCTTTACACAGAGAGAGATTAAACTGTGGGATTCGTTACCAGGGGATGTAGTGATGCCCACAGGAATAAACAGCTTTAAAAGGGGATTTGATAGATTCCGTGAAGGATCATAAGTCTATCCATGGCTACTCGCCATGGTGGCTGAGGGGAAACTCTACATTTGGAAGCACTAAGCCTCTAAATCCCAGGGCCAGGAGGCAGCATTAGGGGAAGGGCTCGGCCTCTCTGCCCTGTTGTTGGCTGTCCAGAGGAACTGGCCGGCCTCTGTGTGAGGCAGGATGCTGGACTAGATGGCCCACCGGTCTGATCCAGCAGGGCTCTTCTTACGTCCCTGTCAGGGGAAGGCCTCTGCCTCTCTGCCCTGTTGTTGTCCCTCCAGAGGAACTGGTTGGCCTCTGTGTGAGGCAGGATGCTGGACCAGATGGACCCTCACTGGCCTGACCCAGCAGGGCTCTCCTCCTGTCCCAGCTCCTTTGTCTTTTGCTCCCCTCGCTGACCAAGTGCGCTCTCGCTCTTTGCCCTCAGGCCACAGTGGGATGGGGGCCTACCACGGCCGCTTCAGCTTCCAGACCTTCTCCCACCAGCGGTCCTGCCTCGTCCGGTCCCTCACCATGGAAGGCATCAACAAGGTCCGCTACCCGCCCGGCAGCCAGAAAAAGGTGGACTGGGCCAAGTTCTTCATTTTGAAGCGGTGCAACAAAAGCAAGGTCGGGCTTGTTGTCCTCGCCGTTCTGGGAGTCTTCTTGGCTGTCGCCATAAAGGTGATCATGGTGGGCGGGGCTCTGTAGGGGGAGCTGCCAGGGCTTGGGGAGGTGAGCCTCGGCTCGGCCCGCGGGAAGACTCGCGTTCGGTCCCGGGGGGGAGGATCGTGGTGAGCGGGGCTGGGGAAGACCTGGCGCTGCCCGAGACCCTGGAGAGCAGCCGCTGGTTGGAGCAGCCCCTCCTGAGCCGGGCAGACTTGGCAGGAGGTGGGCTCACGTGCTTTCCCCCCGCTGGGGCCCCGGGGTTTGAGGCAGTGGACCGGCACCTGCCGCACACGCAGGGAGGGCCCGGATTCAGTCCTCGGCGTCTCCAATTCCAGGTGCTGGGAAAGGCTGCCGAGAGCTTCAGGAGCAGCCGCCACTCAAAGTAAACGGGTCTGAGCTGGACGGACCCGCTTGGTGCAAGGTAGCTTCACGTGTTTCTCTGGGGCTGCATTGGACCATCTCTCCCCCCCTCCCCCCAAGTCACAAGCAATGCTCCCTCTAAGCTGTGGAGCTGTGTGAGCAAAAATCCTACTTTGTGAGCTACCGGCATTAAAGTTGCGAGCGAGCGATTTGGCTGCTGCGTCAATTAGTTTGCTCTGGAGCCCTCCTCCCTGAGCGAAGATAAAAATGTGTGAGCCGGAGGGTAAAAAACTGTGAGCTGGCTCACACGAACTCAGCTTAGAGGGAACACTGGTCACAAGCCGACTTTCTTTGTCCGCCTTTGCTCTCCGCGGTCCAGGCTAGTCATGGGGGGGGGGGGGGGGCTGCCTTTGAATGCTGTTCAGAAACTTCAGCGGGTCCAAAATGCAGCAGCCGGGTTAGGAGAGGGGTGTGGGGATCGTCTCATCCCTGTGCTGCAAGCTCTGGTTTCTGGGCACAATTCAAAGAGCCGGTTCTTTCCTTTAAGGCCCTTAAATGGCTTGGGACTAGAGCGCTGGAAGGACTGTCTCCTTTTGTAGGCTGGGCCAGGCAAGTTCGGATCCTTTTCTCCAGCCCTGCTCTCTGGGCCTGCAACCTGCAGAGGTGAGGCAGGGGGCCGGCAACCAGAGACGGGCCTTTCTCAGTGGTGGCTCCTCGTATGTGGAACATCCCCACCCCCCCCCCCGGCAAGGCTTGCCTGGCACCTACTCTGCTCTCTTTTTAGGTACCAGGCCGAGACATTTCTCTTTACACCGGCTTTTAGTTAAAGGCTTTGATGTTGCTCATTGTTTTTGCCTTCTGCCTCTAGACCGCAGACTCCTTGTATGATGATAATTTTAGCCTGCCAAATGTTTTAAGCCGTGTTTATGCTCCAGCTGGGTTTTTAATAGTTTGTAATTTTAAATTTGGAAGGAAGGAAGGAAGGAAGGGCAGGGGTGGGAGGGGTTTGTGCTCCAGCAGGTAGAGCTGCGGCGGCGGCCTGAAGGGAAGGGGGCAGAGGGGTCTTCCTGTCCCCTTGGCAGCCCCTTTCTGCAGTCAGACTGCAGACAGCTGCAGAGAGATTTGAGCAGAGGATTCCCCCGGAAGGTGCTGTGTTTTCTAGCAGCCACATTCCTTTCCATCCGGTTTCTGAGATTTTTGTGCAGGGAGACGGTAGTTGCCAACTGACCAGGGGTGGAAGCCCAGGCCCGCTCCTGTGCTTTTCACAGCAGCTATGGTCTGTCGGAATCATCTGGCAAAATTCTCCAGACCTGAGATAACCGCAGCCGTACCCTGATTGCTGCATGTTCCGCTTCTGTTAGAAGCAGTGGAGCAGGGGCTTTCTGAAAAGGTGGTAATCCTAGTAGAAACCTCGTCCTTTTCCGTAAAATTGTGCTTTCTTTTTACTCTTTGGGGTGGAGGTGCGGAAGCCGGGCCATGGTTTCACATTTTCTATGGTTCTCCCCAGAACCGCCGTCCTGTGCTAGGGCTTAAGCGCCTGCTGGCTGCCCTGGCCGGGCGGAGGCTGTGGAAGCTGGATAGGGGCTGTCGCAATTCCTGATTGGAAGCCCGCCTGTTTTCTGGGGAGGTAGGACCTGCCTTTCCTCTGCTAAGCTTTTTCCACCTCCCGGTTGCCTGTAGGGCTTGCATGCGAATCCGGGATGTCCTCGGCTCCCCCCCCCCCCCCACATCACTGTGTCGGTGTGGTATGTGGGTCCTGTGGGGGTTTTGTCTTCCTTCCACGGTTTTTGGCGGTAGGGGGGTGGGGTTGATTGTGCATGGAATGTTGTGTGTTCAAGAGACGCTTCAACCTCCTTTGGAAAAGCATCTGCAGCTGAAAGTATGGAAGTATGGAAGTTGCTAAGAGACTGGTGTGCCTGAGCTAGGCCAGCCTCAGGAATGGATGCCTATCTAGACCGCAAGCCTCTTTGTGTTCAAGAGCAGTTTAAGCTGTGGTGTTTCCCCTGCACAAGTGTGCGTACACACACATGTGCACATACAAGAATCCTGGGAGTTTGCAGCTCTGCCTTGACAAACACTGGATTCTCCAGCTTGTCTCTGTTATGCAAACTGAGCACAGTTTATCTTATTTTGTTGGATCTTGCAATTACCACTAATTTTTGCTTTTCGGCCTCACCAGTCAAGGAAGAGATGCAGAGTCTCGTGGGGCATGGAGGGTTTCATCCTGACCATCAAAGATCAGGCCCATAGCCAGGATTTTGTGGCTTGTGGGGCAAATTTTTTTTCTGGTGGGGTTGAAGTTCTCAGTGCAGAAAGAAAAGCCATTTAGCCAATAGAAAGCTGCTGCCAGGATAGAGTTCTAAATAGCAAGCTGTGTCAACCAAATGACAGTTCTCAGCTGCTGCAAGTTAATCACTTCTGCCAGCCTAAGCAACAATTCTGATAACAAGCCGGCAGGTGGGGGTGATGATTTCTATAGTCAAGCTAAAATTACATCTATAAATCTTAGAACACACCAATATTAAGAAGACGTCTATAGTCAAGAAAGCGAACAGGCAGAAAAAAACTCTGAAAGGAGACCAGTCTCTTGACACAGAGTTAGAAGGGATCCTAGAGGTCACCTACTCCAACCCTCCAACCCCTTGCTCAGTGTGGAATTAGTCAGCTACAGCACCCCGCTCTGCTTAAAGGAGCACATGCCTTTAAAAAGAATGTTTTAAAATTGGAAAAAAGCATTTACAGGAGAAATTCTTGTGAGGCTGTGCCTTTAAGAAAGGAGGCAGAGCCCCCCCTCAAAGCCCCACCATAGCTACAGGCCTGGTAGAAATACTGTTTAGCTAGTTGTCCTTCAGGCTTCCAACACCCCAACTGGTGTTGCCTGTGTGAGCATGATGCCCATATATGGGCACCCCACGTGCTGATGTGTGAGGAGGTAGACCCTGCTGTGCCTACCGAGGGTCCAGAGCTCAGAAGAGTGCCCGCTAGCCGTGCATGCTTTTGCAGTCATTTATTTATTTATTTATTTCGGCTTCTATACCGCTCCTTCCCGCAGGCTCGGAGCGGTTTACATAGTCATATTACATATTCCTCCTTGGGGCCACAATACACAGGGGGGGAGGTGACTAGAAGCCAGATGGAAGCGAAAATCCTCAGCTGGATTTTGTGCTTGGTACCCTTGGACTGCAAGAAGATCAAATCAGTCAATCCTAAAAGAAGTCAACCCTGACTGTTCCCTGGAAGGCCAGATAATGAAACTGAAGCTCAAATACTTTGGCCACCCAATGAGAAGGGAGCACTCACTGGAGAAGACCCTGATGCTGGGAAAGATTGAAGGTCAAAGAAGACGGGGACGGCAAAGGAGGAGATGGTTAGACAGTGTCATCGATGCAACGAACATGAAGTTGAGCCAACTTCAGAGGACGGCGGAAGACAGGAAGGCCTGGCATGATCTGGTCCATGGGGTCGCGAAGAGTCGGACTCGACTGTGCGACTGAACAACAACAACCGTGATCTGCAGCATGCCTTGAGTACACACACCGTTTTGAAGTCTCCAAGCCAACATAATGGCATCACCTCATCACAATTTCATGGGTTTTTTAAGACTTGCCAATTGCAAACCTTTCTCCAACATAAGACATTTTTTAAATTTTTATTTTGTCATCCCAAGTGCAGAACGTAACTTACAAAAGTCATTCCCACACTAGTTAGTCGCACCGGGGGTTCCTCTCCCACTTGAGTGCCACTTTGTGTAACTGGGGGCCCCATCCGGACCTTCAAGATCCGTGATTTGATAAGAGTAACATGCAGCACTGCTACAGTTCGTTGGAGTGACTTCACATACTTTCCCTCAGAACCACAACCTTGTCAGGTAGGCCATTCACTCCACATTGCAAAGTGGTGGTGCGGAGGCTGAGAAAATAGTGATGGGAGACAGGTAAGGTGTTGACTGGAGGTCTGCATGCATCTCTCCACTTCTCTGCGTGGAACTTGATGGATTAAGGCCGTTTGCGGCCAAGGGGAACAGGACGGACCCAAAGAGACCGTGGCTCAGTGACAGAGCAGCGGTTTGGCATGCAGAAGGTCCCGGGTTCAGTCCCCGGCACCTCCAGTTAAGGGATCTCTGGGGCTGGGGAAGACCTTTCCCTGCCTGAGACCCCCTGAGAGCCACTGCCAGTCAGGGGAGATGAGACAAGTGCAGGCGGTCCACACCTGGTCCAGTCTCCAGGGAAACGGTCTTGCAAATCCCCTTTCTCTGCCTGAGACCCTGATGATACCAGTCAGAGGAGATGAGACCTCATTTGGGAATCTGATTTCTGCTGAAGGAGGCCCTGGGGTCTACAGGAGTGTATTTCAAGCAAAGACTAGAGCTCCGTCTCCTCTAGAGGCGATCACTGACGTTGTCTCAATCTTTGTCTTCCAGTTCGGCTTTTTCTGAGACCGAGGCCACCGCCCGCCGGAATGGGAGACGCTCTCGTCTGCGACCGGGGTGGGGGTGGGGGGGCTGTTCAGCACTCGGATACGCATAACTTTTTTCTTACTGATGATTAATCGCACAAATGGAGAATTAGAGCTGCTTCTCCCCCCCCCCCCCAAAAAAAATATTCTCCTTCTGTCGAAAAGTGAGTGTTAGGACCGGGGAGGGCTGCCACCACATCCTCTCGGTCCAGACTAACCGGCACGAAGCCTCGGCAGGCCTTGCTTTGGGGGGGGGGGTTTCCCTCAGAGTATTTTGGAGAGAGCTTCTCTGTCCTGCAGCCCACACTGAAAGATCTGTGTCGGTGTCCCTCCTCCCCCCTTTAAAAAAAAAAGCCGGGACTTGGTCTTTCAAAGGCAGCCAGCGATCAGGCGCTTTCTCTGTGCCGTTTGCGAGAGCGATAAAAGAAGCGGATCGGTTTAGCGACGGATCTTTCCAAACACCCAGACGGCCTTAAAGCAATGCTCTTCCTTCGTATCTTCAGTCTCATTCCACTTTTAAGTCCATTTTGGCCTAACGCTTGAGGCTGCTGATCCAGTCCAGGGCCTGCTTCTTGATGACCGTTTGCAGCCATGGAGTTCTCCTGACACACACACACCCACTGGGGCAGGATGTGACCTGCACCTGGGCAGTCCCCCCACAGGGGGGTGAAAGGGGAGCAAGGAAAACAGCAACAGCAACAGGAAAGCTTTTCGGCACAGGAGCAGTTGGGTAGGATCCGATGCTCTCGGTCCAGCATCTTCCCCTTTACGCAAGAGGCCCTTTTCCTTTTCAATGGACGGTGGCGTGCCAAAGACATTCTCTTTGAGGCTGGGGTGTCTTCTGTCTTGCTAGATAACCTCACCTGCTATGCTGTGCTTGTAAAACAGAGCAGATTGAACTTTTTAAAAAAATGGCTACTGATACTGTTTTCTAAAGATCTGTGGTATATGCCTGTCTCCCACAAATTGGGGTGGGGTGGGGGACGTTAACAGAAGATTTCTAGAGGTGGGTTTACTTTGTCTGATCTCGGTGAGCAGATGAATTTTGCAGAGGATAGGTGGGCGTGCTTCCCGTTGGTCCTTTTTTTTAAAGCACTTCCCGTCTCTTTTTTTTTTTAAAAAAGGAATCCTCTTAAAGTACTTTAATCTTTAAGGACAGAGAATGACCAAGATTAGAATGAATAAAAAGCATTATATTGAAATATAACATCCATCCAATGTTTAATATATAATTAAACTTGCATACATCACATATATACTTTGTGTGTGTGTTGGAAATAAACATTATTAAACCCAGAGGGAAATTGAAGCTTTTTATTGGTCTCAGCGGTTGTTTTTTGGTTCTGCCACCAAATGTCTTCAGTGACTTTGTCATTTCACCGTAGTGCCACTTGGCTTTGAATGAGTCTGACATGCACAAAGGCATCTGACTTTTAGAAGAAAAAGAAGAAGAGATTGGATTTATGCCCCCGCCCTTCACTACCCAAAGGTGTCTCAGAGCGGCTTACAAACTCCTTTCCCTCAACAGACACCCTGTGAGGGAGGTGGGGCTGAGAGAGAAGAAGAGATTGGATTTATGCCCTGCCCTTCACTACCCAAAGGTGTCTCAGAGCGGCTTACAAACTCCTTTCCCTTCCCCTCCCCACAACAGACACCCTGTGAGGGAGGTGGGGCTGAGAGAGCTCTGCTCTTTTTCAAGAACAGCTGTGCCAGAACTATGGCTTGCCCAAGGTCATCCAGCAGGTGCAAGTGGAGGAGTGGGGAATCAAACCTGGTTCTCCCAGATTAGAGTCCATACATTTAACCACTACACCAAACTGGCTCCCCACAGAGGACTCCCCACACAACTTCCTGGTGTCCAGTGATCGTAAGGAAGTGCCAGTTTGGGGTTTTGCAGGGACAGAATTCAAATTCCACCGGCATCTCAGCCCATGGTTGGACGACTTAAAGGACGACGCACCGTCTCCAGCTCCCTGCCTTTCCTGCTTCTTGCTTTGTTGATGGGGCTCTTCCGTTTCTCCCCTGCGCCAAAAACCGAGGCACTCAATCGGCGATAGTAAAGCACCGTACCACGATTCCTACCACCAAAACAGCGACGGCAGCTGCAACAGCCAGTCCCCGGTGTACAATCAGCTGCCTCGTAGTTAGAACAGTGGAGCGGCTGGGTGTCTCCTCCGGGCTCCGAATGTGGTAGCTTGGTCCGTCCGTCTTGGTGATGCTCAGCAGAACGGCTCCGTTCTCAGCGTCTGTTTTTGCTGCAGCCCAGGAAGACAGACAGACAGGAGGCCCTTAGATTCACTGGTGGCTACTTAATGCATCGACACACCAAAGTTTGCAATAAAAAGCACCTTAAGATAGACCCCGGGAAAGCTTGGGAGAAAATGTTCTCCCATCATCTTGACTGCTCAAGAGGCACATCAAGACACGTGCTTCCAAACAACCTCTGTCTGTTACCAGGCTTAGAGGCAACAACCAACTCTCAAATGACTGGGGGGGGGGGGACAGG